CCTGTGTCTCTCATGGACAATGGTGGATACACTCCCAACAGTAGCTCCCAGTTGTCTCCCAAAACCCTCTGCCCACTACAGATGAGGGGAGTCGATCTATGATCGCGCTCTCCTTCCACACTTTGGATTAGCAAATTCCTCCCTGCAGATTGTCGCAATCCAGCTGGGTGCAATCCACTAGATGTCTCCGTAGGCCAAACTAAGCCGGCATCCAGCTGACTCGCAATGTGCATTCAAAACTCCGGTCATCCAAAAAACACGGAAGGGAAGGAGAGTACTTGATCGTGTAGAGCAGCAGTTCTCAACCTTTCTAGTGCCGCGACCCTTTGATAACAATGCCCAAGCTGTGGCGACCCCTAACAGTAAAATTATTTTCGTTGCTCCTTCATCGATGTAATTTTGCTACCGTTAGCTATTGGATAGCGGCTCCCGGCCGCACGGGAGAGAAACACTTTCTCCCGGAAAGGTTTACTCTGCTCGATCGGGCAGAGTAAACCTTTCCCTGCTCGGTTTTTTATTTTTCTGACATCGGAGCCACCGTCAGTCCAAAAAAAAAACCAGCATAGGAATGCATAGCTAGATTCCTATTGGCGATTTCGATTTGCAATATTCAATAGCTAACTAGCTATTGCACCCGCCCACTGCTGTCAATCAGCAGAAGGGGACCTGATCGAGAACTTCAGGTCCCCTTCTGCTGATTGACAGCAGCAGTGGACGGGTGCAATAGCTAGTTTGCTATTGGCTATTGCAAAGTGAAATCGCCAATAGGAATCTAGCTATGCATTCCTATGCTGGTTTTTTTTTTGGACTGACGGTGGCTCCGATGTCAGAAAAATAAAAAACCGAGCAGGGAAAGGTTTACTCTGCTCGATCGAGCAGAGTAAACCTCTTCGGCAGAAAGTATTTCTCAGCCGGGAGCCGCTATCTAATAGCGGGAGACTCCCGGAGAGTTGGGATGTCTTTAGGCGACCCCTGGCAAATCGTCATGCGACCCACAGGTTGAGAACCGTTGGTGTAGAGGATCACTCCTAAAATGTATTAAAAATAAAATTTAATAAAATAAAAAATTTCAGCCCAAACTGTTGGCTCTAATATCCTAACAAGTTTCGTCCCAAAGAACGTCCTCGGGAGTTCTCCTGGTTGTCGTCATAGACTGGAGATGAGGATTGATGTTTACATTTTAAAGCAGACAATATAATGGGGTCTAAGGCGGCACCTCTCTTTGGCTGTAATGGAAGGGAGGGTGTAGTTCTGCTTTAAAAAAAAAAAAATTGTTTCTATGACCCGAGACAAATATTCCTAATGACATACTCTTGATGCGTTGGCTCCTTGGTCCACCAGTGAGCACCTAATATTACCCACATCGATTATCCACATCAAAATCCAGTTTTTTGTGGGAGCTGGAGAGTATAAGCACCTGACCATCTTCAATCTCTTGAGAGGTTCTGGAGTAGTGTGATCTTCTGAAGCTTAAAATTCAAAGTCTGTAAACCTGCTTTGGCCATTGTGAGTGTTTTCTCACTTTTATCTGATGGATTAAAAATACACAATGTGGTACCATGGAAGGAATCCTACTGCTGAACTTTCCCAAGAGACGTACCATGGAAGGGATGCTACTGCTGAACTTTTCCAAGAGATGTACCATGGAAGGGATGCTACTGCTGAACTTTCGCAAGAGATGTACCATGGAAGGGATCCTACTGCTGAACCTTCTGAAGAGATGTTCCATGGAAGGGATCCTACTGCTGAACCTTCCCAAGCGATGTACCATGGAAGGGATCCTACTGCTGAACTTTTCCCAAGAGACGTACCATGGAAGGGAAGCTACTGCTGAACCTTCCCAAGAGACGTACCATGGAAGGGATCCTACTGCTGAACCTTCGCAAGAGATGTACCATGGAAGGAATCCTACTGCTGAACCTTCGCAAGACATGTACCATGGAAGGAATCCTACTGCTGAACCTTCCCAAGAGATGTACCATGGAAGGGATCCTACTGCTGAACCTTCCCAAGAGATGTACCATGGAAGGGATCCTACTGCTGAACCTTCCCAAGAGATGTACCATGGAAGGGATCCTACTGCTGAACCTTCCCAAGAGATGTACCATGGAAGGGATCCTACTGCTGAACCTTCCCAAGAGATGTACCATGGAAGGGATCCTACTGCTGAACCTTCCCAAGAGATGTACCATGGAAGGGATCCTACTGCTGAACCTTCCCAAGAGATGTACCATGGAAGGGATCCTACTGCTGAACCTTCCCAAGAGATGTACCATGGAAGGGATCCTACTGCTGAACCTTCCCAAGAGATGTACCATGGAAGGGATCCTACTGCTGAACCTTCCCAAGAGATGTACCATGGAAGGGATCCTACTGCTGAACCTTCCCAAGAGATGTACCATGGAAGGGATCCTACTGCTGAACCTTCCCAAGAGATGTACCATGGAAGGGATCCTACTGCTGAACCTTCCCAAGAGATGTACCATGGAAGGGATCCTACTGCTGAACCTTCCCAAGAGATGTACCATGGAAGGGATCCTACTGCTGAACCTTCCCAAGAGATGTACCATGGAAGGGATCCTACTGCTGAACCTTCGCAAGAGATGTACCATGGAAGGGATCCTACTGCTGAACCTTCCCAAGAGATGTACCATGGAAGGGATCCTACTGCTGAACCTTCCCAAGAGATGTACCATGGAAGGGATCCTACTGCTGAACCTTCGCAAGACATGTACCATGGAAGGGATCCTACTGCTGAACCTTCCCAAGAGATGTACCATGGAAGGGATCCTACTGCTGAACCTTCCCAAGAGATGTACCATGGAAGGGATCCTACTGCTGAACTTTCCCAAGAGATGTACCATGGAAGGGATCCTACTGCTGAACCTTCCCAAGAGATGTACCATGGAAGGGATGCTACTGCTGAACCTTCGCAAGACATGTACCATGGAAGGGATCCTACTGCTGAACCTTCCCAAGAGATGTACCATGGAAGGAATCCTACTGCTGAACCTTCCCAAGAGATGTACCATGGAAGGGATCCTACTGCTGAACTTTCCCAAGAGATGTACCATGGAAGGGATCCTACTGCTGAACCTTCCCAAGAGATGTACCATGGGCGGAATATGTACCATGGAAGGAATCCTACTGCTGAACCTGGAAGGGATCCTACTGCTGAACCTTCGCAAGACATGTACCATGGAAGGGATCCTACTGCTGAATTTTCCCAAGATATGTGAGAGGATAACACGTGACCAGGTGCCACGTAAAATAAGAAGTATGGGTGGACTGACCCTTCAACTTTCTGTGCTGAGCAAACTTTGTTCTGTTTCATTGAATTGGACTAGAGGTATTATTGACCGGGGGAGTTGTAGCTACAGCTCAATGTAGGAAAAAAGTCCCTCAGCTCTTAGATCTCTACTCATTTGTCGTTACCAGTTCTAGAAGAGACCCCTTTCACTGATGTCTGTGTATTTCATGGAGTTCCTGGGGCCTGGCATGTTCACTGGACTCCCCTTTTATCTCCCTGGGTGGTGGTGATGGTGTCATTCTAGACCTCTGTTCTGCCTCGGGCTGTGATTCCATCTGATGTATTTCCCTCTGTTCAGCAGATCGTTTTGTTCCCTTTTTATCCCGACTCCCATTGTTTGCAGCTTGAGTACGGGAATGGCTAGCACTCAATTAGAGGCGATGTTCCTCCCTGAGCCATAATCCATCATCGTGTGAGAGGCCGGATGTTGTGCATTGTGTGGTGAACGTTTGTTCTTTTTCTCCTTCTAAAATGTTATCTTGACTTTCCAGAGCACGGCCGCTGCCCCCAACGGCAATGGAGACAACAGTGACCTCCTGGCCCGGGTCGCCAACCTAGAACACGAGAACCAGAATCTGCATAAAGGTGCCACGTTGTGATTTTGTTATTTGTGACCGATGGGCCGCGATAGGAAAACCATAGTAGGCCTTTTTAAAGGAGAACTATGGGGTCAGTGCTTTTCCCCATAGTTCTCCTAAGGGTAACCGGGGGACACAAACTAGCGTCCTCCCGTCATCCAAAGCTCAGTATATAGCACGCTACAGCTCCCTATATACTGAGACCGCCACAGCCGGGACGGATCCCGACATTGTTGAGATCCACCCAGCTGCGTGATTGACAGCTTGCTCTGCCTATCTAGAGGCAGAGCCAGCTGTGCCCGCCCAGTCCGTTCTGCTAGTCAGCGCTGGAGGATCGGGGAGGGGGGGAATCCCTGTGAGTGACAGTCACACTCTCTGCAGGGACAGGATCGAGAAGTGAGCGAGCGCCGGTATGTGTTCTCTCCCGATCTACTGAGCCGACCTGTGACACTCATTGTCACACGTCGGCTCGAACTATGAGGTGAGTGATTGTCACTCGCCTCATACTTCTCCTTTTAATGGTCTTCACATACAAATATGATTCAAGTCCAAATGCAATGAGAACGTCTTGGTTTTGTGTTTTGGTAGACTTGGGGAGGGGGGGAGAACCTCCGGAGCTTTATCTTGCTCAATGGGGAGAGTGCAGAATATATCCGACTTTGTAGAATATGAGATCGCACTCAGTCGGATAGAAGTGACATTTCAGGACTGATCAGCTGTTCCCGGGCAGATCGGTTCTCCTGCACATACCATTTGTGATGCCGATCTGCCCGGGAACAGCTGGGAAAGCTTTGAATTCTACACCTTTTTGCCGGTCACATATTTTAACCCCAGAAAAAATGGGCGTGATTGCATTAAAATGTGTGATCACATGACCGGTAACATATTCCAACCCAGTCACAATCTATTGATAGGACAAGGGCTCTCGCGGTGAGTACAGAGGCAGGGTGCTGTGATGTTTTCAGAAAGCGGCTCCCTGCTAGCCCATCCCACCCGCCATAATCTTCCTGCATTGCATAAAGAAGAATGGGATCCCAGGGATGACATCATTGGTTCTAAAATAAAGTATATCGTGAAAATGGAAGGGTTTTATTTAAAAATGTCACTGACAAGTTGAGCATTTATTTTTTGCATAGAAACCAGTAAGGGCCCATTCACACCAGATGCAGTGCGTTCCGGCCAGAACGCACTGCCTCGCATTGCGGCCGGCTCACTATGTTGTGGGGCAGGAGTGGGCGTGGTGGGCCATTGAAGTGAACGGCACCGTAGCCACACCCTCCGGCCGCAATGCGATTGACCGCACGGGATCACAAGGCACATTATGCCTCCGGTGCGTTCTGGCGTTCTGGCCAGAATCGGGCCGCAACGCACTGCATCTGGTGTGAATTGGCCTTAAAGCATTGCAACCACGATCAGTAGATCACTGGCGCAATGCTTTGGCTCCTGCACACTGTTCCTCCCATCTGTGTTCTGGCAAACATGCTTGGGCACCTACCCGTGTCTGTGAGATTGCATTGGAAGCTCCTCATACTGATGTCTCTGTCCTCTGCAGTGGTGAAGGATCTGCAGCTGGTAATCTCCAAGCTGGAAAGCCGGATCGGTACACTGGAGAAAACTGCTACCTCAGACAGAGTGGCCCCAGCACTTCCATCTGTGTGCAAGGTACGGTCCTGGGCCCGGGGGGGCGGCGGTCTGTGTTGTGTATAGAGACAGAACATGCTGCCAGTGAAGTCACTTTATATAATAGGACTGGAGTCTGTGACGGTTCTCATTCATCCAGGTCATCGTATATCTGTAAAAAAATAAATCAAGGCAACTGCACTTGCTGTCTTTTTCTTCAAGACGTTTTGCTGGTCACCCGGCTAGCTTTCTCCGTTCAGGACGATTTGTACAAGAAAGTATCTGGAAATACATATTATGTTGATTGGAGCGACATTCACTGTTATAACCAGCATGGGGTCAGAGACCTCCCGGAGGTGAGGTGTTGATTGTGTTTGCATGATTGGCGCTAGCAGGTGTTGTTAAGCCTCCCAGAGAGGTTAAAACCGCATTGGTCACTCCTTTAAAGATGGTCAAGTACACATCCTGGACATGGAGGACTGGTGATAAGAGGCATAAAATAGGCTATTTGTGTTTTAAAATGGAGAAGCCGAGCTTGAGTAGAGGGGGATGGG